GCTGTGGCTCAAGTGGTAGAGCACTAGCCTTGAGCTGAAGAGCTCAAGGGACAGCGCCCAGGCCCAGAGTTCAGGCCCCACGACCAGACCAAAAAAAAAAAAAAATAATAATAATAATAGAATGAATGGCAGAGAATTATGTGAAGTAACTTGTGTCCCCACTAGGGAACATAAAAATTATACACTCATGAAATTGTCAAGAAAATAACATGTGGCTGGGAATGTGGCTTAGTGGTAGAGTGCTTGCCTAGCATGCATGAAGCCCTGGGTTCCATTCCTCAGTACCACATAAACAGAAAAAGCATAGTGTGCTAGCCTTGAGCAAACGAAGCTCAGGAACAGTGCTCAGGGGCTGAATTCAAGCCCCAGGACTGGCAAAAAAAAAAAAAAAGAACATGGATTAAGAAAGAAGCAGTGAAGCCAGGTGCCAGTGGCTCATGCCTGTAATCCTAACTACTCAGATTGAGTAGCTAGGAGGCTGAGATCTGAGGATCACAGTTTAAAGCCAGTCCAGACAGCAGTCCATGAGATTTTTGTTTTTTTTGGGTCCGGTCGTGGGGCCTGGACTCTGGGCCTGGGCACTGTCCCTCAGCTCTTAAGCTAAAGGCTAGCGCTCTACCACTTGAGCCACAGCGCCACTTCTGGCTTTTTTTTTCTGCTTATGTGGTGCTGAGGAATCGAACCCAGGGCCTCAAGCATGCAAGGTAAGCACTCTACCACTGAGCCACCTTCCCAGCCCCGTCCAGGAGATTTTATCTCCTGTTAATCACAAACACACACACAGAAAAGCTGGAAGTGGAGCTCTGGCTCAAGTGATAGAGCACTAGCCTTGAGCAAAAAAAGCTCAAGGACAGTGCCCAGGCCCTGAGCTCAAGTCCCAGGAATGGCACAAAAAAATAAAAATAAAAAGAGGAGGTGAGAGCTGAAGGAAACTAAGGTACAGTTGAGTAATAGGCCTCTTGAGTTAGAGATTGAGGAAGCACTCATTAGAAGAGGGGGTTGGCTCCAACAAGGCCACTGACACAGATTTCCTGCTGTTGCATGAATTTAGAACATTGGCTTGTTTTACAGTGGTTTTCCAGTGTATTTATAATAGTGAAAACTAACATTAATTCAGATGTTTCAGGATAGTTATATTTACGCAGTACTAACTTGAAATGTAACCTCCATTGGAAGAGTATCAAAATAATTACAGGGGCTAGGAACGTGGCTTAGCGGTACAGTGCTTGCCTAGCGTTCATAAGGCCCTGGGTTTGATTCCTCTGCACCATATAAACAAAAAAGCCAAAAGTGGCGCTGTGGCTCAAGTGGTAGAGTGTTAGCCTTGAGCAAAAAAAGCTCAGGGACAGTGCCCAGGTACTGAGTTCAAGCCCCAGGACTGGGAATAAATACATAAATAAATTACAAAACCTGTTAAGAACAAAAAAATGCGTTGTATAAAAACTCACTTTATGTCCCAAGTACATATCTATTACAACAGTGTATTTATGATACAAACCCAAAAATAGACTTAAAAATGTCAATGAGCCTAACAGCTTAGGGATAATAGGATCCTAGGTGAACTTTTTCCTTGCTGTTTGTCCATACATTCCTAACTATGATATTATGTGACCTTTTCTTTTCTAGACATTAACTGACGCGTTTGAAAGAGTGCTAAGAAAAAATAAAGTTCAAGAGAATATCAGACCTCAGGGGATAAGTGAAGAGGAGGAGGAAACAGTGGGTAAAAGTCTCCACTGAAATAAATGCTACTTGATCAGACCACTGGAGAATACAGATATGTGATTTTGTAAAGAAAAGAAAAAAGGACGGGCAGGGCTCTCTTTAAACAGTAGCTCTTTAGGAAAAGGCAAGATGCCAAGTTGGAGGCTTGGTTGAGTGGTAAAGTACTTAATTTTCACGCCAAGGCCTGGGCAAGATGGATTAGATAGGTAGACAGATAAAGGAGACCCTGTTTTGAAGAAAATAACGAATGTAAAAGGGGCTCAAGCTATAGAGCACCTGACTAGCAAGCAAGAGGTCTTGAGTTCAATTCCCAGTACCACCAAAAAAAGAAAAAGAAAAATCATAAAGATGGTTACAGATACTAAGAGAAAGCTACTGCTAAAACATTAATGAACAGGTGCTAAAGTACAATGTAGTTATAAGTAAGCATACTGTAAAATTGCTTGAGAATTTGTTTAATCTACATAAAGTTTGCCAAAAAAGCAAGCACATCAAAACACAAGTAATGGCTGTATTTAGGGTGTGGGGCGATAGTGTCTGAAACTTGACAGCATGTTTTCATATCCAGAGGAGGCCCTTCACTTAGAATAATGAACAGTAACCAGATTTTTAGAAATTCTAAGACTTTTGGCTAGGAATCAGTTAGCTACTTTTGTTCATACGTAGTATTAAAGATCCTGTGAAAGAGTTGTTAACCTCTCTATCTTACTCTGTTTTGTATCCGCTTCTAAGAAAAAAATATACAGAGAAGCTGTTCATAAAGGAATTCCAAAATATAGTCAGCCTTGGAAGATTTATGCCAGAAAAACCAAAGCTCAGAGTCCGAGACGTGGCTTCCCAAAGTCAAATAAAGCGACTCCAAGTAAGAGCCATAAAATTGTACTTTATGGAGAACTGGCAGCGTATTAAAGTGTGTACTGCCTTCCAAGGACAGCTCTGAAAAGTAACCTCCACCAGTGAGCGCAGCAAGTTCTTTGTTTTATCCCTGCCTAGTGGCTGGTTTTTTTGGAGATAGTTTAACTGCTGAAACAGTCCCCTGAAGGGAGGCCTGTACATTGATAGCGAAGCTCCAGCTTGAGCCAGGGTTGTCTCTGGGAAGCTAGTAGAATGAAAGCAATGCTCCAAGACAAGCAGATGGCCCATTCGGTCTCTGCATATTAACAGTTGGTGCCAGTGAGTCATTGAATTGAAAGGAAACAAGGTCGTGTGAAAGGCCAGGCTGCCAACTATCACCAGAAACTACTTGTCTCCTAGCTCCATCCCATTACACAGGGGCTTTTACTCGGGTCAGAAGAGGAGTGCAGAAGTAACAAGTGCACTAGAATGGCCGCTTCCACAATCAGCACCACACATGGTTAGATGGGCTCAGGAAGTTGCGGGGAGGGTTTATTAGCAGCATGTTCAGCATAAAAGCATCTCATGTTTCCTTGCAGTGAAAGTGAAGGAACACAGCCTCCTCCCCCTCATGCTGGAGCAGTTTCCCTTTCTGTATGTTTCTGACCCAACACTGAGCAAAATGTGGAAACAGCAAATCACACACACTGAACAACTCAGAAAAGAGGCCTATGGAGAAGACCGATCCAAGAAGAAACTCCACGATGAAGTAGGTATCTCTCAGTTTAAAGTTGAGAATAAGCCAGAAAGGGGAAGAGCCTGTCCTCAGCACTGCTCACCTGCTTACCTTGTCCCCCTTAAAGATAGAAGAATCCCTGAGAAGGCATGACCTCCTTACAGACCTGGTGAAGAAAGAATATGAACATAACAGAAGACTGGTATGTCAAGCGCAAGTGGGCCTTGCCGTTTTGAACTTAAAAGTTTTATTTCTTTCCTGTGTCTAAACCAGGTACATAGCACAGATCCACTTCTAGGGCTCTAACCATAGTTGATGAGGGGAAAGTGCCAGGTGTCTCATGTTCAGTTGTGTGTGCCAGTACTGGGACTTCCACTCAGGGCCCAGGCACTGTCCTTTAGCCTTTTCACTCAAGGCTGATGCTCTACCACTTGAGCCATAGCTCTACTTCAACCTTTTTGGTGGAGATGAGTCACAAAGGCCTTCTGGCTGCAAGGTAGTTGTGGCTTAGTGCTTTCTGCCCTCTCCTATGGTTCTCAGGCCCCAGGTAACTGAAGTAGTTTGCCAGCTTCTGTTAGAACCTGGACTGGGAACTGTACTGAGCACCATGTTGCCCCCAATAAGGTCAGACAGTGTGCCAGGAAGAGACCAAAACATCTGTGGTTGTGAGGTAGGTAAGCCCTGGGAACTGTAAGCCTGAACAATCGCATTGTGGCACTGTACTGATCTGGAGGCTGTCTGTACATGCCCCATTTCATCCTCAGTACTGTGTCAGAGATTATCTAATTTCCTTCGTTTGGACCCCACTAAATACTTTGGACAACTCAGGCTTTGCTTGAAAGTCTCAGTGCCATTTTCCTACTCCTGTTAAGCGGGCATCAGGTGTGTGATGCACTGACCTGGCGGAAGGAAGATGAGAGCCTCGGTTGAGCAGTGCTCAGGTCCCGCTGCTCTGCCCAGCGTGGTCCTTTTGGTGCTGCTCTTCCGATGGAGGAGATGACGCTAGAGGCCGCAGGCTTCTGGGGACCAATCATATTATGACCAGGCTGTCATCGGTCACTGGCCCTGCATGGCTGGCTTAGAGCTTGAAGATGTGATGGACAGCAGCGATGAGAAAAGTTAGCCTGGGCTGGGAAGGTAGCTCAGTGGTAGAGCGCTTACCTTGCATGCCTGAGGCCCTGGGTTCGATTCCTCAGCACCACATAAACGAAAAAAGCTGGATGTGGTGCTGTGGCTCAAGTGATAGAGCACTAGCCTTGAGCTGAAGAGCTGAGGGACAGCGCCCAAGCCCAGAGTTCAGGCCCCACGACCGGACCCAAAAAAAAAGAAAAGTTAGCCTTCTCAATCCTCATCCCTCTCTTCTTCCTTCCTAGCAAGACTTCAAGGATCGCATTCACAGACAGAGGCTGACCCAATCCAAGATAAAAGAAAATCGTCAGCAAATTGTTCGTGCTCGGAAATACTATGACGACTACAGAGTTCAGCTGCGGGGGAAAATGCTGAGAATGAGAACCCGTGAAGAAATGGTAAGGACAGTTTTCTTGTCTAGCTCTGTACAGGTGGACTTAGTCTGACATTCATAACCACGTTATGTCTTTGGGACTCTTGTCTCAATGTGAATCCAAAACAAATTCAGGCTGGGCACCTGTGGCTCACACTGTAATCCTGACTACTCAAGAGTTTGCTATCTGAGGATTGTGGTTCAGAGCCAGCCCAGAAAGGAAAGTCCTTGAGACTCTTGTCTCCAATAAACCACTCAGAAAACCATGAGTGGTGCTGTGGCTCGAGTGGTAGAATGCTAGCCTTGAGCTGAAGAGCTCAGGGACAGCGCCCAAGCCCAGAGTTCAAACCCCACAACACACACACACACACACTAAATTCAAAAGTTTACACTTATCCATACTTCATTTTATTATTGCACAATGCATTCCCATTTTTTATTCTCAGTCTCCATGGCTCACATCTTAATGTGAATTCTTGGCCGTACTGGGATTTGAATTCAGGGATTCATATTTGCTAGGCAGGTGCTATATCCCTTGAGCCACACCTCCAGCCCTTTTTGTGTTGTTTGTTTAGAGGCAGGGTCTCACTTATAACCAAAAAGGGGACACAGCCCTGATGGACAGATGAACAAAATGTATAACCATAAAAAGTATATTCATTCAAACAGAGTTTGGTAATAAAAAAGAATTAAGTACTGTTGGGTGCCAGTGGCTCACGTCTGTAATCCTAGCTACTCAGGAGGCTGAGATCTGAGAATCGTGGTTCAAAGCCAGCCCGGGCAGGAAAGTCCATGAGACACTTACCTTCAGTAAGCCACCAGAAAACTGGAAATGGAGCAGTAGCTCAAAGTGATAAGAGTGCTGGCCTTGAGCGAACCAGCTAAGGGACAGCACCCCAGGCCCTGAGTTCAAGCTCACAACAAAAGCAAAAACAAAAATTAAATATTGATATATTCTATAGTGTAGATGAATCTTGAAAACATTATGTTACACGAAAGAAGTGTGTGGAATAGGTGAATCCACAGAGGCAGGAAGGACATACATTAGCCACAGGAAGAGAGAATGGGGAATGACTGCTAATAGGGTAGGGTTTCTTTTTGGAGTACTGAAGATTTTCTGAAACTAGTGGTAATGGTTGCACAATTCTGAATATACTAAAACCAACTGAAGTATACAATTTCAGAGGAAGACTATAAATGTAATTTAAGCTTTGTTTTGAAAAAAATCTTTGTGAGTGGCTGGGAATGTGGCTTAGTGATAGGTGCTTGCCTAACATGCATGAAGCCCTGGCTTTGATTCCTCAGTACCACATAAACAGAAAAGATTGGAAGTGGTGCTGTGGCCCAAGTGGTAGAGGACTAGCCTTGAGCAAAAGCAGCTCAGACCCTGAGTTCAATCCCCAGGATTGGCAAAAAAAAACAAAAAAAACTTTGTGAAATGTGATCCATATATACCTCTAGGTAAGCATAATGATTATATTCTTCAGTAAAAGTGCAGCCTAATGTATCTTTATTAAATAACAGCTATTTAAGAAACTGTTTGAAGAAGGCTTACAGATTCAGAAGCAAAGGTTGAGAGACCTAAGAAACTATGCAAAAGAAAAACGAGACGAAGAAAAGAGACAGCACCAGAACGAACTGGACTCATTAGAGAACTACTATAAGGACCAGGTGGGCCTACCCGCGCTCGCTTGCTCGCTCGCTCGCTCATATTGCAGTGTGTCGTCCTGACCGCCTATGTCAGAGATGGCTTAGCGTTGACAGTGAGACTCCAGGGCAGCTCACAGCTTGCCCCTGGTCAGGTGACACTGCCTCTTGAAAGACTAATAGTACCGCTTTGCCCATAGTATATGGCTTTGAAAGTTTTGAGCCTGTGAACACAAAGTGTTAAGAATTACTACATTTGGTCTATAAACATTCAATTTGAAACTTTTTTTTTCTTCTTCCCTATAAAGTTTTCACTACTGGCAGAAGCCATATCACAGGAACGGCAGGCACTGAAGGCCAGAGAGAAATCCCAGGCCCAGGTAATACCTAACAGGATGGAAAATAATTGATTTACATCTCAAGGCAGTATTATACCTTATAAGGGACTGGAGAGAATATTAATAAGAAAATCTGTCTACCAAGACATTATGCTAGGGTCTCTTTATATCTGTTCAAGGCTCTGTCAGTTATGAAAATCATCACAGGGGCTCGATGGGTGGAGAAAAAACAGGAGACAAATACCTGTGAACATGACTTCTCTTTCAGACGTTACATAAGGTGAAGAGGGAGCTGAGATCGAAGATGGAGAAGGAAATCCAGCAACTACAGTGCATGATAACGCAAAATGACGAGGATGCTTTCTTCCGGGAACTTGAAGCTGAGCGCTTCAAGGCTCGGCTGCAGCTGGCCTCTTTTCAGTACAGTAAAAATCCCTTCCCCTGAGGCCAGGCGAAGTCTCTGGAGGTCTTTACTAGGACAGTGCTAAAACTGAGCCAGTAAACAATGTACACTGAAAGAATAATTTTTAATGCCTTATGTATTCATTCCGGTACTTATTATTTTTTAAATAAAAACCACTTTTTCAAAGCTTCCTGCTTTTAAATTTATGACCTAAGCCAGAAAAAGACCAAAAGCAAAAGCATGTTCTTTACAATCTTATTTGTACTAAAGCAATTAACAAGTTTTGAATGAACATCTAACTTCCTGAAGCCTATTGCTATAATTCAACATAAGATAGTGTATATTAAAAATAAATAAACACCTAACCCCTGACTGAAAAAAGGAAAAAGAAAAATCTCCAATTGAGAAGTGTGGGATGGTCACCAGAGGTGGGCCATGTTGGCCCATGGCTATATGTAGTGTATGTGTCTAGGCTGTGTGATGAGAGGAATGGACAGCTGGTGTGGGTGGTGGAGGCCTGCAGTAAGGAGGCCGCGGGAGCACACATCATGGGAGCACTAGCGATGACAGGGAAGGAGACATAGCCGGCTTAATAGTGGGCAAAGTATGCACACCAACTCCATCTCTGCAATGGGCACGTGAGAAAAGAAAAAACTCACTCGGGCAAGTCTTCAACAGTGAGGACACTTCCATAAAGAGCTTGAGAGCAGATGAGGATATGGAGACCTTGTTAATGAGAGCCAGGGACAAGCCAAGGGCAGGCACCATGACAGGCTGGGAAATGGGAGGCTCCCAGGAGGGCATCAAGTTTGAGGTCAGGAGGCCCTCAGGCTGGGAATCTACCCTAGTGAACAGCGGACAATATCTGCTACTCTGGCCCCAAGGGCTCCCCTCTGTAATGGCAGCTGACAAGGCTGGGCCACGTGGTAACAAAGCCTGTACTGGAGCAAAATCAATTTACTGACAGTATCTACGGGATTTGGAGAGCTGTTGGGGTGGGCCCTTTAGTCAGGTGCTTCCACATTGACTGACTTCTTGTCTGTATGTGAACTGAGTTGTGAAGACCTGCTTGGATTTGGCCTGTATTCAAACAGGCTACAGGAGTATTGTCTTGGAAGTACAGTTTTCCCAAGAGTCGCTGAAGTCACATGCCTAGCCCTAGTCAGCCTGGCACACGTTTTGACACACAGTATCTCAGACTGGCCTCGCCATGTAGCCCTGGCTAGCTTCAAACTTCTCTTTCAGCTGAATGCTGGTTATTACAGGTATATGCCACTATATTTGGACTTTTTTAAGTAAACACTGGTTGAGTGAAAAGATAACTTTTTGTTTTGATAGAGGGCTTCGCCATCTAATAGGCTGGCCTTAGAGCAATGCCCAGCACAGCAAATAATACCTCTTAAATATAATTTTAACTTTAAATTCTAGCTTGTCTAGTTTGCTGAGTGTGAAATTGCCTTGTATATCCTGTCACTCTACTGGTGCAATCCACCAGTGCTATCACAGGTGCAAGCATCTAGGATTGGATAAATGTAGAGAGGACCTGGTTGGCCTTCATTATAGATAACAAAGAACACAAACTGCAGGTTACTGTGCACAGAACTTACTCATACAGAAGTCAAATCTGGGAATTTGTAGACTAATACCAATAATCCTTACTGTACTAAAACTTTACACATTTTAGGTCAGACCAGTAAACACAGTGATGTGAGATAAAACACACAAGTCCAGAAGAGTATCAAGTATAGTATGCTCACTCACCTTACACCCCTGCGCCACAGCTGCTCCCAGGTGTCCCGGGGAAGGATACACCTATGCATTTAGCTGGACTTTCAGCCACTGGCACTGAGAGAGCAGCAGAGTCATAGCTCTGAAAGTCCATGGCTTTTGGGGAATTTCTACATTTTTGTTTTGAGAATTTCACTGCCTAACACCTGGAGCAATGACAGGCTGTCATTGTGAACCCAAGTGACCTGGTATGAAGGGCTTCCAGGACCACATCCTCCTCCCCACCAGACCACCAAAGCAGAAGGGCACCTTCCTGCTCAGCCAGGACATGCAGAGGCCTGAGCTCTGAAGTCTAGCAGCTATACTGCTAGAGCTTTCCACGCAGGATGGTGTGCACCCTCCTTTTGTGACTGTCACCCTTGGGACAAACCAAGTTTTTTCAAAACAATTCATTACAAACTCAATGTTCTTAAAAAACTTTGTTGCTGTGACAGTGCAAACAGCATTCATTTTATTGCTCAACTTTAGCATGGGCACATACATAGTTAATTTTTAAAAACCATTTATACAGATGTTATTGATAAAGCTCATGTAACAACTGGGTGAAAAATACAAGGAATATCAAAGCTAAAACACTCTGTAATAAATACAAGTACAATGAAAATGATAAAACTTTGTTTTAAAGTCAGTTTGAGAGAGGAAGAATATTACATAAAGTGAGCTAATTATACCTAGAAATAAAACAACTCAGCATTTGGTACAATCATCATCCTAACGTAAGCATGTTAAATACCACAAATGGCACCCGTTGATGGTAAGCTGCAGACAAGCAGGAGCTGCTCTGCCAAAGGGAGAAGGTGGCAGAACCATCCCAACGCCCACCAGTGCAATCGGTCCAATGCCCCCCACGTTCCAAGCAGATTTAGTGTTGTAAAATAAGACAAATCACGTTATACTTAAAGGAAGAGAAACTTGTGCTCTTGATTGTAAATACAAGAGAGGATGAAAGGGCAACAAACTATGTGCAAAACAAAATGTACACTATACACAGCACTATTTTAAATTTCTTTACACCAAAAAAATAAGGCCCTCTGCATCAAATCTCACCTCTACTGCGAATGAGCTCTAAGAAGCACTCACTCACAGTTCATAATTAAACATGCATGATGGAATAATATGGAAAGGTGACATCACATATTTGAATTAACACAACTAGAGAAATGATAAAGAGCAGTTAAGGAGGGGCATGTGGAAATAAATATTCACATTAAACATGAGGTGCAAGTCCAAGGTTCAATGACAAGAGTCTTTCGGTTTCCTTAGCACCTATTTTGAAGTAATGGGGTGATATAATTTTGAAACTGAAACCTAAATCATGTTTTCATATATCATGTTAGTGATCCCACAGACTGTCATGTAGGATGATTTTCTTTTAAAGCTCTATTAAAGTCATTACAAAGTTAAAAGGCACTCAAAAAGCGGTGGTGTTTGCTTGCTTTATGTTGTACATGAAAACAACTGATAGTAGCTTTTTATTACCACATCCCTGTCAGGTAGATTTCTATAAAGTGTTCATCGTGTATTTTGTACTGAAGGATTTTAAGAGGAGGCACAATAACACACTGCACTAGTGCTTGAATATAAAACAGAGATGGATCTGTAAGCAACAAGGTGATACGAATGCTGAAAATACAAATACTCGAACAGCAGAGACCATTTCCACACAATGTTCCTCGGTACTACTAAGAATGCAGTAGGAAAATCCAACATGTTTGGGAAGAAAAAGGCTATTGTAAGCACATCACTGCCGCACAGCTGGAGCTCTGACTAACGTATCCATAGTGGTCAAATTTGGCCAAACAAAATACATTTAAATGCTGAGGAACTACAAAAGCAGTTCTCAACTTTCTAAAAAAAACAAAAGCAGCAAAGTTCCCCTCCCACTTTTATATACCCATTCCCTGCCCCATTTCACCCCACCCCGTGAAAGTTTAGCTCAAACTCCAATATTTAAATGATAAACATTGGAGCTGCTTTGGGGCAAGGATGGGGAGATGAGGGTTGCAGCCCTTCCTCCCAGCGCTGCTTCCCCGCTGGTCACTCCTCAGGTGCCTCGCTCAGAGGAGCACTGTCTGAAAGCACAGATGGAAACCCACTCCATCACATGGAACAACACAGGGACCTGTTCCCTTTAGGACTAAGCTGCAGAAGTTAAGCCCATTACTAAAATTTGCTATGCTTACTTCATACATCTATGTTTAAAAAAAATAGCACATACTTTTTGGTGGCTCAAGTTAAAAATCCATTTGTGATTTTAGATTTTTCTCCAACCCCTCACTGCAGAGTCTGGGCTGCCTTCTGGATCACAGCGCAAGTCATACACCTGTGCTTGGAAATCAGATGTGGATTCTCAGCACTGCAGAACTGGGACTTCCTTCCTTCCTTCCAAATTGAATCCTTCAGTTTTAAAGTGATTTCTCTCACAGAGTTAGAAGGCTTTTGTTGTTTGTTTTTAAGGCAGGATCCTGCTTTGTAGCTCAGGCTGGCCTCCAACTCCACATCCCCCTGCTTCAGCCTCCTGAGTGTTAGGACTACAGGTATGTGCCACTGCACCTAGCTTCACTCTTTTTTTTCTTAGTACTCAGATTCCTTACTCACCACCTAGTACTACCTCCAGTTCATCTTGTGAGGTAAAAACAGGTTTCCTAAGCTTGCTGAATAGTCTTCAAACCGAAAGTATCCCTTTTGCATAATTTTAGCCAATTAAAAGCATGAGCATTAAAAGCTTCAGGATGGGTTACTTGATAGAAAATTACAATATAATTAAAATATAAATTAGGTGCACTTATTAGAGACTTTGGTTTACAGAAATATATCTTAAAAGACAAGCTCACCTAACAAAGAATTAAAATCCCATCCCACTTGCATGCTGAGAAACTATAAAAACACAGTATTTCAATTTAAGATGAAAGTAAATCCAAAATACCTGACCATATTGATTCAAGATAAAAAATATTAGGTTTTTAAAAACATCTTCTTAAAAACAGGGATCCCCTGAATACATCTTACCATAGCAAATAACTACTAAGTCTAGACTACATGGTCACATTAGGAATTTGAAAACCAAAATTAAATAGTTGTATTTCCAGGAAATTCATGATTAAAAAGTACAAAAACCCACTTAGGCTAGCTTGAAACATACGAGGCAAAGTAGAATGCTCTGCTATAGAAAGACATAATTAAACATGTAAATGGCTTAATCTCTGAAAGATAATATTCTTTTAGCCAATTGTTTACAAAGGAAGAATAATTCAAAATAACTTTATTTTTAACAAAGAATAAGTACAGGAGCTGTTCAAAATCATGTATTCAATCAAAATGAAATGTGACTTGTACCGACTGCTAGAGCTGTCTTGATGTATAAAGACTGGAAATCTGTGAAGCAATTTGAATAGATTACCTTTTATAAAAATAGTAGTAGTCTTTAAGTGTAGAATACTGCCTAACTCTGGAAATGCAGGGAAGTCAGCATTCTTTAGGTTCAAGATATGAATTTTAAATAGCAGCTGAATGTGTCCTCATGGCAAAGCATAAAGACCTCTTTTCCTTGAAAAGGAATTTGCAAAGTGTCCTTTCCCTCACAGCATCCTGCCGTGGAAGGAGGTGGGTTCCTGTACTTCAGCCTCCTCTGAAACGGAGAAAGGAGGCTGCGGTCAGGGCACAGAGTTCTGGGCCAGCCCCTCATTCCACAGCAAATCCACATGTTTCTTCGATGGCTGTTAGCAGCTTCTCATAGAGCTTTTCATAGCTTTCATAGGGTGGAATGTCTATTCGGTTGAAGCTGTGAGTAAATAGATCATATTTTACAGTTTATTCAAAATAAGCAAACTGGTCTAACAAGTACACAAGGCACACAGAATATCATCCTGTGTCACAGAGAAAATTCAAAAGATGGGATTTCTCTAAAGAAGAGATCACGCCTACCAGTTTCTGAATATTTGTAACTTTTAAATCACTTGTAAATGTTATTTGTTCTTTTTAAAGGTGTATTTATTTTACTGAGCAGTAAGTGAAAGAAAATTCTGGAAGCAACGCCAACCTACATGGACAAAGGAAAAGCTACAAAAATAACTCACCAAGTGTGGGCTTTTGGCAGGTTGTTCGTGCAGGCATCAATCTGGTGTATGGTGAAGAGCCGTGGGCCTGCAGCACCTACCAATGAAGGAGATGTGGGTCAAATCACCACAGGGCTGTATCTATCTCCAAAATCTTGTAACTAAACTGGTACATAATCCATAGGACCTACAGATGGGAAATGCTTGAAATTCACACTTGATACCTCAGGGAGGCAGGAAAAGAATCTGAGTTCTCAAAGCTGGAACTGAGTGAACGTGGATAAGGCCGAATGCCTGATGACATTAGCATTTCATTTGAGAAAAGGTTCTAGATTAAATCCTTTTGCCAACTTCTTTTATAGAAAATCAAATCTCCAAAAGGATGATTTAAAAAACTACAAGCAGGAGCTGGGAAGGTGGCTCAGTGGTAGAGTGCTTGCCTTGCATGCATGAGTCCCTGGGTTTGAAAAGGCCAGAAGTGGTGCTGTGGCTCAAGTGGTAGAGCACTAGCATTGAGCTGAAGAGCTGAGGGACAGCGTCCAGGCCCAAAGTTCAGGCCCCATGATCAACAAAAATAAATTAAGTAAGTAAATAAATAAACTACAAGCATGGCTCAAGTGACAGTGCTTGCCTAGCATGCATGGGGCCTTCAGTCCAATCCCCAGTAACACACACACACACACACACACACACACATATGCATGCGCGCACATGCACATGTGCACACCCAGAGTAATTGGGCAAATCTAAGATTTTTGCTTTGAGAGAGGATCTCACTATGTGCTCAGGTAAGCCTCAAACTCGCCATCTCCCTGCTTCAGCCTCCTGAGTGCTAGGATTACAGCCATGTATGACCCTTGCCCAAAAAGCACATTTAAAAAAATGACAACCTAGGCTGGGAGGGCGGCTCAGAGGTAGAGTGTTTGCCTTGCATATATGAGGCCCTGGGTTCGATTCCTCAGCACCACATAAGCCAGAAGTGGTACTGTGGTTCAAGTGGTAGATCGCTAGCCTTGAGCTGAAGAACTGAGGGACAGCGCCCAGGCCCGGAGTTCAAGCCCGATGACTGACAAAAAAATAAAATGACAACATAGTACAAATGTAGAATTCAAGACTGAAGTCAGTCTAAGAGCAAAAGATGAGCAGTCCATAGGAAAAACTCCAGTTAACACAGACACCCCATACAAATGTACAGAGCAGAAACACAACTTCAAGTTCTAGAAACTGAAAGTAAACATAGCTGAAACTAGGCTGTGACTAGGCCTTAACCAGCGAGTGATGGATCACCCTAATGAATTGTTCCTATGATGCTTTGTGCATAATCTCTCTTCAGCAACAGCTCTGAAAATGATGAAGAAAAAGAAACTGCCATCCAAGAAAGCATACACCCATTAGCAACGGCACCAACTCATCCACAAACTCAACAGCTTACTCTACAAAAAACAATTCTTAATGTAAAAAAAAGGGGGTATCAGCTGGATGCTGATGACTCACACCTGTAATCCTAGCTATTCAGGAGGCTGAGATCTGAGGACGGTGGACAAAGCCAGCCCTAATAGGAAAGTCTGTTAGATTCTTATCTCCAAATACCCAGCACAAAACCAAAGTGGAGCTGTAACTCAAGTGATAGAATGCTGGCCTTGAGCAAAAAAAGCTGAAAGATAGAGCCCAGACCCTGAGTTCAAGCCCCAGGATGAACACCAAAAAAGAAAAAGAAAAAAGGAATGTGATTATACATCAATGGTCTGATGCAATGCAGTAAATTCAAGTGCTCTGACCAAACAGATGGCTTCTGAGACTCCTGCTGACTCTATTAAAAGAAAGAACGGACAACAGAAGCAAGGCATCCCAGATGGGTGAATGCTTTGCCAGGGTGAGATGTGGACATGGAAATAGATAACTTGCCCCTACAGGAATGTGTGACTGAATTAAAAGCAAGGTGACCTGAAAACAAAAGACAGAGCATTAGCACAGACAGCCCAGTTTCCCAGGTGGCACTGACTGTATTCACAGAGAACTCCCCAGAAAAAGGATCTTGGGAAAGGATAAGAGAAGAAAGGAGAAGGGACCACAATGTAAAAATTACAGATCATAAATGGACTGAAAAGAGAGCCTATTAGTGCAGGGCTTGTGAGATATCTCTATAAAGCAAGCGCTGTCCCCTGCCTATCCACACCCTGGCAAAGCCAGCGCCGGGCCTGTCCGTCCGTCCGTCCACGGGCATTTTACCTTGAAGAGCCTTGAAGCCCTGCAGAGGCACTCTAGAAGACCCTGTCACAAACTGAAGCAACCGTGCTCGTCTTTCTTCATCAAAGAACTCCACAGCCTTCCAGAACCATTTGACGACATTGCTGTCTGGTGTGCAGTGTTTTAACCGGGTGTTTATCTTCCAGTCACTGACATCTATTTTTCCAAGTCCACAAATAATAAGCTGTTAAAACAATGCGTAAGTGATGAGCCAGTGAGAACCAAAGCCATGCTCCAAACTTCTCAAAAGAAACCTGTGCAGCATGGTACATATAAAAAACATCTGGGAAACTTTTCAAAATCTACACAACAAGTGTAGTGCTGAAGAGATTGAAATTTTGTGTGTCAGGTGACAGTCAGGATTTGTACTTTAGAAACTCCAGAGGTATCTAATTGAAGGTAGAGTTCTCTCTCCAGGATCTGAGAATCATCATTGTAATGGACCTGATATGAAAACTCCACCATCTCATAATAGGACTCTGATTATTTTAATGGACAGGAAGCTGTGACTCAGAATATCTGCAGTTCCCATGTGCCTTCCTCTGTGTACATCACATGAAACTGGTTCAACATGCAGCACCATGATTTAGACACATTCAACTCGCTCCCTAAGCCATCATTTCCTTCTGCCATAATCCATTGGCTACCTTTATTTCACTACATTCCATGAAGGCCACCCAGAATCACAACAACTCAAGAAATGCGTGCCAAGCCGGGCACGAGTGGCTCACACCTATAATCCTAGCTACTCAGGAGGCTGAGATCTGAGGGTCGCAGTTCAAAGCCAGCCTGGGCAGGAAAGTCTGTGAAACTCTTATCTCCAATAATTCACCAGAAAACTGGAAGTGGCACTGGAGCTCAAGTGGTAGAACACTAGCCTTGAGCTGAAGAGCTGAGGGACAGTGCCTAGGCCCAGAGTTCAAGCCCCACAACAGA